TCAACTTTTCCTTAGTGATATTCATATGGATAGTTATGTCAAAGCCGTACCGCCTGATATCATGCTTGCTACGCGTATCAGTTTCGGAAGTGAAATTCAGTGCTAGACCAATATCTTACGTTAATTGACATTGTTGACAGCACGCAGCACTGGAAAAAGATAGATGGGGAGAAATGATAGTGAATTATCGAGAAAAATATTAAAAACCCGCGCCACAATGCATCCGGATCTGATCCGTTGCGGTAAAGTGACATCTAAATCTACTATTGTCGTTCAAGTTGGACATCGGAAAATCCCACACGCGACATTCGATTTTACCCTCGTTCTGTACGTTAAACATAACGTCGGACATAGTGCGCTGAATAGCGCATCATTGTGTGAATACAGCGCACTATGTCCGACGTTATGTTTAACGTACAGAACGAGAGTAAATTCAATTGGCGCGTGTGGGATTTTCCGGTTTTCTACTGAAACGATAATATTATCGTTTCAGTTGAAAACCGGAAAATCCCACACCCGCCAATTGAGTTTACTCTCGTTCTGTACGTTAAACATAACGTCGGACATAGTGCGCTGTATTCGCACAATGATGCGCTATTCAGCGCACTATGTCCGACGTTATGTTTAACGTACAGAACGAGGGTAAAATCGAATGTCGCGTGTGGGATTTTCCGATGTCCAACTTGAACGACAATATCTATCTTTCAGACTTGCAGCAACGGATTCGGCTTCGTTCACGAAGATGTTGCAAATCAGTGGACGGAGAACACTGCCGTGAGGTACACCGATCGCAATACTAAAAGTTCGAGACTGGGCAGAGTTGACCACTACAAATGCGTCACGATCCGTAATCCATTCTGGAAAACCCATGTGCTTCAACGAATGCATTCGCAAATTCAATATACACTGAGTTGTCTCGCTTCCAGTCAATGAGGTGACAATTTTAGCAATATGTAGGGCATTTCAGAATGAATTCAAGGAATAACAAGAAGAACTTTACGACAGTTTTGAGTAGAGCTCCAATTGTGAAAGTTCAGAGTAAAAGTTTTAAGTAGCTCTGCGGAAAAGGAAGGAGGATTCCAGGATCCGTGTACGACATCAAGGGAATTACATGTTGCGGGTACAATTTCAAAGAAATTCTGCGAAGAGGTTTAAGGGGACAATTCCAAGGGCATCTCGAAAAGAATTTTCATAGAATTTTAAGGAGGATTCCAAGTGAATTTTCTGAAGAATTTAGAGAAGAAGAACAAGATTATTCTGGGGTGAATTCCAAGGGCATCTCGTAAAGAGTTTTCATAGGATTTTAAGGAGGATAGCAGTGAATTTTCTGAAGAATTTAGTGAATAACTCCAAGATTATTGTGAGTAAAATATAATACATAAATTTTGAGGTGAATTTGTAAAAAAATGTTAAGAAGATCAATGAAATCTTAGAAAAAACTTCAAAATTTGAAGAGAATCTAAGGATAAATTTCATGAATTTTTGAGATTGTCAAGGGATTCCCAAAGAGAAATTCAATTTCATTCTAATTGGAACTTTGAAATGAACTCTGTTATGGGAAATTATTCTAAAGGAAATGCTTGAGAACATTCAAATAAATTCATGTACAGAGTTTTGAGCGAATGTTCTAGGTAGTTAAAACACCGACAAGTTGGCATGACACTTAATTCTTATGTCCAAAAATCATAAACGGCTGATTTAAATGTGCAGTGATCCGAACTGTCAAAACCATAGGTTTTTTTTTATCTAGGTAAAATTAATTTGTCCAGAATAGATCAGACACGAACCAATTCATAACTATTGCATGTGGGTGCATGACTTAGCTAAATATTTCCCGCGAACATGTAGTCAGATGTCAGTAGTGTGCTATGGTCAGAATTTTTATTGTTTTGGCTATGGTCATTCATGTCGATTTGTCGGTGGTTACAACATTGACTAATAATGAAGACTTCGGACGCAAAACCAAATTCAAGTTCTAAGAACAATGCTGCTGTCTTAGTAATGAATAACCCATTTGGCATTGTGATTTCTTCGACTTATTTACAGCACCGCCCTGCGGGTTGCTATCGCTATCGCTATTCTAACGCTCCTTCTAGGTTACTATTTTAGTTTAGCACCCCATTAATGTAGGTTTCTATTTTGAGTTTAGCGACTTCAAGACCATATCCATTTTGCACCGTGTTGCAAAAAACCAGAAGTTCTGTCGGATGCTATGTGAAGTTCTCTCAGAATTTCCTTAAATCTCTCGGAAAACACTTAAAGTTCCCGCAAGTCACGAATGATCCAAGAGCGTTAAAGTGAATATAATAAAAAACAAAAAAAAAACTTCAAGTTCCCTCAGAACTTCTCTGAATTTCACTCTGAATTGCTCTGAAGTTCACTTAGGAAGGAAAGGAAACTTGAAGCACTCTCGGAACATCCCTGAAATTCCCTCAGATTATCCATGCAGCTCCCTCGGAAACTTCTCAGAAGTTTGCTCGAAACTTTCTTACTTTTACTCGTTACTTTTCTTCGAGTTTTTCTTAAGATCTCTCCGATGTTCTTTCCTGATGTTTCTTAGGATCCTTTCTTAGAAGTTCTCTGATTTTGCCTAGGAACTTCTCTGAAGTTGTGTAGGAAATTCTTTGAAGTTTTCTCGGAACAACACACTAAACAAATCTGAATTTTACTGGTGATGTAAACATCCATGCATGCAAACATTCTTGCATGTAAACTTCCTTTTCACGTAAACTAGCAGCTTGCAAGAAATGTTGCAAACAAAGGTGGAAAGTTGCATAAAATATATGGAATATTGCATGACATGTCTCATAAATTTACACGATTTATAATGTAAATTTGTATGATTTATGACGTTCCATTTATGTGCATCATAGTAACGGAAATTTACACTACTTTTTTTAAGCTGTGAAGTTTGTAGTTCCCTAGGAACTTCTCAGAAGTTTGCTCGGAACATACCCTTTTCTATGAACTTCCCAGCTTTTCCAAATTCTTCCGGATGCCCTGTTAAGTTCTCTCGGAACTTTCGTAAAGCTTTCGGAAAAAAAACGTAAGTTTTTTCAAAGTTTCTTCCCTGAACTACCCTCAGAAATTCCCTCGAAAGTTTCCAATAGTTCCCGAGGAATGTTTCAGAAGTTCCCACAAAACTGCCCAAAAAATCTTTCCAAGCTTTCCAATGGATATTTCTAACAGGAATTTTGTGGAAGTTCTCTTGAAGCTTGCCTGACAGGTAGCTTACTTAGAGTTCTCGCAACAGGTCACCTTAAATTCTTATCGTAATCCTGCGATATTGCTATTTGACATGCGAAAAAAACCGGGGAATATCCATTGCAGAGATTTACGGTTCATGTGGTTAGCGACGTCACTCGTCGTTTGGGCGTATTGTGTATGCTACGAAGACAGAGAGAGTTTGGTTCCCATTCCAGCTGATGATACTTTTCTTAAAGGAAATTTCTCTACTGGTCCACTGCCATGGGTGTTGTGTGTTGTCCGTTGTCTAGTGTTAAGTGTTTAGTCTGTGAAACCTCTTGTTGAAAACGGCGTCAATTGTCTTTTCAAAATTAAAGAGATTTATAAGAGGCTGTTCATATACCATGTAGAGTTGGGCCTCGACATTGACACAGGTGTGCGAGGAGTATACATGGACGTGGAGAAGGAGATTCCCTCCTCGCTTAGTTTCCTCAATCGGAATATATGCTACTCGGGGAATAATGATACATGCTTCCTATGCAAGGCGGAGCCGGATGAATTTCTGCCCCAAGCGGAAGGCCCGTAAACAGCAGCAGCAGCTTGAAAAGCAACCGGATGTGGAAAAAATGCAGGATGAAAAAAAAACAGTATAATAAAGGCTGGTGTAGTGGCTGGAGGTGCATGGTTGGACAGCAGCAGCCAGGAAACAGAGATAGAGGTACTGTATGAAGAGGTCGTGAAACTGGATGTAAAGACCCCGGTGACCGAACCCCAACTGACTTGGTGCCAGCAAAGGCAGAAACATTGGAATAATCCATACGAGTATGAAGCGATGCAGAAGAAGGAAAAACAGGAGAAGAAAAATTAAAAACTCAAAAAATTAGACCCTCGGCTCAGTTTAGCTTCTAGAGACAATGAGCCTTCCAAATTAACACCATAGAAAAGAAAAAAAAACAAACTCCATAATCGATTCGTCCCGAAGGAAGGAAGGAAGAGGATGGATGTGAGTAGTGATTATAGCACAATCGAAATCTGTACGAAGTCATGTTTCCGTGGAGATGAGCACGCCGTAATCACAGCTGGATAGTAACACACGTAGTTGCACAATTTTAGCCCATTACAATGGGAACGGAATGGAATCGATCAGGAATATTCTGTTCTGCGCTGCAATGGAGCGAAGACATCATAGTCAAGAATACTGGTAACTTTGTCAGAATCCAAGTGACAGATACAATAGCGCTGCACTTTGGTGCAGGTGGAAGCAGTGCAAAGCAATATGAGCAAATACACAAACCTTTCTTCTGAGGTAGTAATCTATGCTATCAAATTCGTTCGAAGCATTTACCTTTGAGTGGAAGATGACGCGAATGTGCCTGACTCATAGCGGTCGTATGAGAAAATGGATGAGTTGCCAGTCTTCTTGATATGTTGTCTTCGATTGAAGACTCCATAGAGTTGTGTAATTGCACTTGTCGAACCCAGGCAACAAGAAGGTGTACTGCTGACGACCATGGTGTGTGCAGTAGCGACAAGTATGGATTGTTCGATAGTTTCTATAACGTCAATACCCGAATGGAATCGGAATTGAAGCAGTGGACATAACTGGAAGCGGAATTACTCCTAACTTAAGTTATAGTTAAATAACACTTCACCGAAAACCAATATTTTAACGATTTCTTTCTGTCTCATTTATATAATTAACACATATTTCTTCTAACCGAGTGAGCGACGCAATTTCCAAACATACACTGTTCATAAATTTGGGTTGCACGTGTTACAGATTTCTTAACTAATTTATCAATCTTTCGTTACAGTGATTTCTTAGTTAGAGTACGCGCACAAGTAATGGCCAGAGATGAAAGTACTGAGGGTTGGTTACCACTGCAAGGCGGTGGTCTGGCAAATGTCTCGATACGCAAACGCGCACGACTGCCACCGGACGGTGGCGGTCACGAATACATCATATATGGACAAAGAATATCTGACCAAACAGTAAGATTCAGCACCCCAATATGTCCCCGAGGATTCATACTAATCTATTTTTTCTTCTTGTAGGTTATACTAAGTTGTGTTATTAATAGAGATTTGCAGTACTTTAAGGTAATGCCTACTTTTCATCACTGGCGTGCCGGCAAACAGCGGAATGGGCTTACCTTCCAAACTGCGGCCGATGCGAGAGCTTTCGACAAGGGAATCATTCGTGCCTACGATGATCTTATTGATGGTGAGTAAAGAGCCTTGTCGGTAAATGATCAGTTAAACCTAACCCAACTAGTGGGGCTATAGTCAAGTTATATTTTATCGACATAGGAAGCAAAACTACTTCTGCGCCTTATTGTGATATGCTCTTAAATGATTATTGCTCCCGTTAGATATGCGATTTAGCTACTGTTTGTTTTTCTTTCTTTTTCTCTTTTATTTGAACACCGCTTCTGATTGCCCGAACAAAACCAATCAAACCAACCCTGTTAAACAAAATAACAATTGCATATACTGTACAATCGGGATACGAAATAATACCGAAACATTAAAAAAAAAAAACTAAACAAAAATCAATCCTCGATATATACTCGTCATCACCTCTGACCCTAAATATGGTAAGTTGGCCTTTTGTTTTTTCAACACATGTTTTGGTTTCTTGCTTTTTCTGGTATTTTCTGTTTTTGCTCACCATGTTTTAATTGTTCAATGTGCCCGTGATTTTTTTTTTGCGTATTGTGGACAGAAAAAAAATGTCACAGGGATCTTAAAAGTGGCAAGTGCTAGAAGATTATTGGTACAAGTATAGGTATCCGCATTTCGTCGGTTCCATGCTATAGGCAAGGGCAAGACAACTTAGTTATATTTGCAAACATCATCAAATATTTCAAAATATCAACCAGAAAATAAGAGTAATTTCGAAAACTAATATATATATAAAAGGTGAAGCTTTTGGTGCCGAACAATGTTTTGTTTCTAAGAATTGGTTTGTTTTTAAACCCATTCCAAGAAAATGTAACAATCAACACAATTAGAAAAAATCGTCCACTATTTTAACCCCATAAGATTGGCCCCGTATTTGCCAAAAATATTGACAAAAATAGATCATAGACAGTAGCGTTGAGTGGGACAATAACACCCGCTGAAAATATGTTGACTATCACCGCTTGCTTTTTTTGTATTAACTAGAAAAACAAATTTCAAGCATACCTATTAGTCATCTTATTTTTTTTTTTATTAAAAACGATTCAATAACATTTTCCCGAATGTCACTAGCCCGAATGTAACACAATCCCGAATCGTTTGAAAATAACCCAATATTTGTAACTTAGTAGAAAACTCTTAAACTTTCTTAAATGTCTGAAAAGTTCTCGAAAAAACTGATATTTAAACATGAAGAACAAACAAGGACGAATCTTCTCTAAAATATTAGAGTCTGATATCTAATCAAACTTTCAAATCCTGGAACTAATAAACTTTCCTAAAATCCAGTTTAAAATCTCAAATTAATACTTCACTCGCAGTACAGCACAACCTGGAAGCCTACTTGAAGTATTCATTTAATTTTAGTCTAAAAATGTACTACAGTCAACTCTCCATATCTCGATATTGAAGGGACCATCGAAATATGGAGAGATCGAGATATAGAACAAGATTAGCCTACTAGACCATTTGAAGGGATCGAGATAACCATCGACATATAGAAAAAAGTGGTCACATATCGAGATGTGGATCATCGAGTTAAAAATATAGATTTTGCTCCACCAGACTCAATCGATTCTAAATCAGGGCCTGACTATTCTCTCAAATTTTGAGTTTATGTGGAACCAAACTCATACTGCACCCTTTATGCACGAAACGAAAATTAATTGTTTTATTCATGTGTTTCAATTATAATTTTTTGCCAAAACATCAGCCTTATACATTTCATAAGACCAACCACATAGATTCTATAAGAATGCATAAACTGTATGTGTGACCATTTATACATTCCATTTGACACATGATCTTCATTAACATTTTTGCAAGGCGTCTGCATATACATATACATATACATTTTCTGAATAATCAGCAATAGAAATTTGCCAAAAGGTATAAGGGGATTTCTATCCATGTGTGAATTACACAGCAAAAACTAGATTTTAATATTACATCCAAGAGGATGCACTTCAATCATGTCGAAAATCTCATGTAATGTTTATGGCCACAAAATTAAACAAATGCAGTAAAAGCAGCGTAATTTCAGTTCATGAAAATTTGGTCCTTTTTGGCAAGTAATATTACACCATATTTTTGACACGATTGAAGTCACTTTGAAAAGTGATTTTTTTTGGTTCTCAACGTCTTAGTACTTCGCCATAATGATTTAAGGGTAAGGTTTCTATCTTCACATGTGTGAAAACTTTGCTGAAGACCACGATTTGATTAGACTTCAAGGTAATTAGGGGAATTTACGTATTCTCGTCAAGCTAAGCAGCGTCTGCACTTCTACTAGCATTTTCTCAGCGTCACGCACATATATGATGTGTCTGTTTGTTTACATTCATCTGCTGCTTGCTTCTCTATCCATTCCAATCGACAGAATTTTTCAAAACGTTTTGAAAGCGTTTTTACAACGCTCCAAACTTCTCAGGTGAGTGTGACTATTGTCGGCAGCCTCTTTTTCTTCGGCAACCTTCCCATTAGAACTGCGTGTTAACCAGCTGTTCTATTATCGGCAACTCGAAATCAACCCCACTTTGTAGTGCGTATGCTTTATTTGAAGAAAAATGTAGCATTACTGGATTGCTCGATCGTTCAAATATAATCAAATTGAAGCTGAAAGGCTAAACAATCGTTTGGACATATTCAAGGAAGTGCGTTGATGGGAAAACATAGTGAAATTAACGTTTAAATTTAGGTTGCCGAAAACAGTCAATGGGTGCCGAAGCCAACATTTACCCTAGTTATTAAGTGATTTCGAAGCCGATAACTTTCTGATACGATTAATCGAATGCTTTCAGGGCAACACTGCATCTTGCACTTATGACATACACGGTAAAAAAACATCATGTTCATGTAAATAATTTGCTGTTGAATTTGCACTACTGGCCAAACATTGCAAATCGATGTACAAATCCCTTGGAAGAGATCATATCGAAGCACGATGAAATCAACAGCAAATCACTTCATTTTAGTTGTATTGCACATCGTTGTTGATGTGCTGTGCTTTGAACTCAAAATGTCAAGCATACTGATATTAAAAATCTATCACTTTAAATTTAACTAATTTATCCTTGGATCATTATCATGTTTGCTGAATATGGATTCAAATAATATATTGCCTTGTTCATACTGCAAGCCTTGTTATATGTTATTCAGATTATAACCATAAAACATATATATCATATTACTATCCAGATCACATGTGTCTAAGTGATATTGAACAACATTACAAGGCTTGTAGTAGAAGTAACATTGAGCAATCAATTTGATAAGTTTGACAATGTTTTGTAATAGAACTTATCTGAGTAATACACTATTATTGAATACAGCAACAATTTCGTAATACACGCGCTCATTATTTCGGGTGGAGATGGAGAATTATCACTTTCTTGCTCTTAATTAATTTGTTGTTGACTTGCCATCTTCGCGAGTAATGCTTGGCATGTGCGTTTTTGACATTTGCTTCCAAAAGCAAAACTATTAAAATTCAATGGATGAAAACAGTGGCCAATTCAAATGATAATCATTTTGATTTAAAGGTGTTATACAGTACATATTTTTCAACGACAAATCACTTTGTTTCAAACCCAAATCACTTGAAAATCAATGATAAATCACTTCGATTCGTAGTGCCGCATGACAGACTGAGTCAAGTGCAAAAGCATTTGGATTAGATGTGACAACTTTTTACCGTGTATTAGCCTGAATATTTTGCCCTATTCTTCCTGCCAAGCACACCAGTGTTACCTGCTGAGCAGTTTAAGGAGCATGTCAGAAGATTAAAATCTTCCTAATTAATTAATAACTAATTATCCTAACGTTCAATTTAAATGCGGTCTTCAGCAAAGTTGCAGCTGAGAAACTTTCACATTAGTACAAATATCAAACTTTCCCGTTGATCATTACAGCGAAGGGCAAGAACGATACGAAGAAAATATCACTTTCAGTAATTTCCATATAAACTTCAAAGAGCCAGTGCAGTACCAACGAACCGACGTGACAGCTTATGCAAGCTTCATTCAAATTCAAGCCCAAGACACCATATGTTGACAAACAAAATGCTCCTGTGGCATGTGGCATAAGCTTAGATTGCATTGGGTGGAGCAGTGACATTTCGTTCAATTGTTTAAAATACCGAGCTCTGTCATCTTACCTTTTTTAATGACTTAAGTATTTGACTAGAATTAGAAACCATTTTTCAGACGTAGACAACTACTAGCATCTATGAACATTGATTTTTTTTACTGGAGACTGGACTGCAATCATTGCACAGTGGTCCAGGATGGGATTTTAGCAGGAAAATAGTCCTAGAAATTAAGATGTTTGGATTCTTCGGTTCTCGGGTGAAGTTTTTGTGCTTTAAAAGTCCCTTCTTTCGTTGGTTGTAATTTTAAAAGAAAGATTTAGTGCTGAAACATTAAATTTTCAGGTACACCCCAATGAAAATAAGAAATCTTGTCGATTTCGACTCAAAATAAGAAAAAGTACTTACTAGGTTAGTTAGTGGTTTGAGTTAAATTTGCCTCGATTTTCCTCAAATATCGGCTGGAATATTAGGAAAATCGATGAATATTTTACTCAGTTTACGAGTATACTATTTTAATTCAAACTACTTGCTTTAACTTGACAGCTCAACTAGATAGATGGTTGCTGTTTTTGGCAAAGTTATTCAGTTTTATAAGACCTTTTGTATAGTAGACATTTTGGTTAAGATTTTTTTTTACCAGGCAGCGCTACCCGAGCAAAGTCGGTTAACAAAATGAAAGCAAATCGATATTAAAGTGTGCAGTTCCTATCATAATGAAAACTCATTTTGATTTCAAATGTCGCGACATAAGTCTGACATCATATTGTGCTTTCATTATGCAGTCAAGACTTTGTAAATGAAAGCAACTTAACTTGAAGTTCTGCTGTTAACTTCTTGTTTAAAATTTAATTGAAGTTCATCTGTCGTTGAACTAATGATTATTGTTTATTTGTTTTGTTTAACACATTTTAGGTCATTTGTGACTTGCCCGGGGTGAGATTTGAGCCCAAGTC